GTAGGTATAGGTAGTACAAATTACAGCAATTAAGGATATAAAAATTAAAAAATATATAAATAATAATTTTTTTTTCTCATTAACTTGGCTTTTTTATGGTATCTACAAAAGCGGGGCCTGTCCAACTGGTGAAGGCGCGGGGCCCAGGGCGAGGGCCCCGCTCGCCCTGCCCTAGGGACAAGGTATATAGGTATGAAGGTATGTACCTAAGTAATATTATATATCAAACACATCATTATTTTTACATTATTTTATATATATTTACGTATTATATTAAATTATTATTGTTATTACTTATTATACATACTTATTAAATATAATTTAATTTTTATACTATACATATGTATACTTTATTTAAAATAGTCTGTCATCTTAGTTTGGACTTTTTTATTTTGCCAATACTGTTTTTGTATTTTTCTATGAATTTCTCCCATGTTTTGGGATAACTTTGGATCATCTTCATGAAACAATAATTGTCGGCATTATTGCCGATTATTTTTATAGTTTATATACATAATATGTAATAGATACGATAACACGTAAATTGTATTATGAAACATAAAATATTGTTTCGTTATTGAGAGTGACTAATACGTGATAGAGAATGAATTGTCTAATGGGTTATACAGTGCCGGGTTAAGGGGGGGGGCAAAGGGGGCAGTTGCCCCGGGCGGCAATTTTTTAGGGGCGGCAAATTCTTAACAGTGAAAACGAAAGTTTTGAATTTTTCTAATGTATTTTAATTTTTAGGAAGAATTATTATTCATTGAAAAATGTGTATAACAAATAATAACAGTAATATTATAGTAGATATTTATATCGAATCGCCTACCACAGAATTATTACGTGAACCTTCAGCGTATTATAAATTATTAGTAAAATAGAAAGACCATGTTATTATTATTATAGCGCTCGGACCGACGGCTAAGCGGCGACGCATTTCTATTTTTGTTCATATTATCGTATTATTTTCGAAATATTGTACACAATATGTTTACAGCAATAAATATAGTCGTGTTTGTTTCATACCCGTATGCTATATTATAGGTTCGGTTATCTGTTCGTCTTTCGAGTCTCGTAGTAGTAGAACGTACTCGTAGTCTCGTCAAATGTAAAGTCATATTTATTTAAAATTAAAAAAACGGGATTAATATTCTCTAATAGCAGTTTTTCATCAATCAATATGAGTGGAAAACGCATAAAGTTAAGTGGTGCTGAATTTCGCAAAAGAGCTGATTAAAAAAATAAAAAAGATAAACTGATAATTTCTCAGACGCCTAAAATTCAAAGTTTATTCAAAAAGGTAAGAACTTACGTATTTAATAATATTATATAGTAGTGTTTACTTACCTATTTATTAAAGAATAATGAAGAATATAAAATATGAATAGTCGCGATTAATATTTATGCTAAGGTTTTTAAAACGAACTTATAATTAATTTTAAATACATCAGACTACGATTGTATTTTATTAGATTACATTTTTCTTTTGACTATTTTCTATAAATGGCGGATCAGCATTATTTAACATAATATTATGCAATAATTTATATTAACTGTTGTATACTTGTATCCAATTATCTATATCCAATGTTTTAAAGTTTTTTTTTTTTTTAATGTATGCTATAATAACTTTATTATTACTTTGATTATTTAAAATATTTTTTTAAATTTTGACATTTATCAAATATTGTTGTTAAATAGTTTTGCTAATCTGCAGAATGTAAGTTTTTATTTGTTTTTTTCGGTTTTGATTTGCCGATAAATTTATTCAATCATATCAATATTGAGAATTGTGTCCTACAAAGTATGGATTGGAATGACTTCGTTAAAGAATTTGCTGCACAGAAAGCTAGAAAAAAATTGTAAATTTCAACTTGTGTTTATATGTTTATACTTAGTACTAATAGTTCTATGATACTAAAACTACTGATTTTACGATATGCTTATAAATATATATAAATTAAACAATTTTAACACTGTTGTTATGTACGTTATTTTTTTTATGATGGGTACAGGTTTGTAAAGGGCGGCAATTTAAAATCTGCCCCCAGGCGACATATTCGTTAACCCGGCACTGGGGTTATATAGCAAACCAACCATTATTATGTAATGTTTACGTTATATAGAGTTTTTCGTTGTAAAGAGTTTCGTTATAAAGAGTTTTCACTGTACCATAAAACGGTAATTAATGTGCTGTATACAATATTCTGTACCGTTACAAAATATAAACAGTGACTAGGGATTTTTAATATTTTTCAAATGTCATTGTAAGAATGTAGTAGGAGTATTGTATTCAATTTTCAAGCTTTTTTACCCAGCAAATAAAGTTTTATTGACATTCATAGAAAAAAAGACTAATAAAATTGAAAACAGAAACTGTTTGTAAACAGTTCATATCAAATCAAAATATTTTGAAAAATTGTATTGTGTATAGAAAATGCAAATATAAACGATCAGTGAAAATTGCATGTACCTATATAGGTCAATTTGTAGTAGAGTTACACCAAAAACCAAAATCGATTTTCCTTAATTTGTATGTCGTCTTTCCCGGCGTTTTCGACTATTAGGAATTTAGGATAATAACAATATTCACTTTCCCATCAAACAAGATACTGAAGTATAAAATCGAAGCATTATTTCGACTACTTATCGTGTAGAAAAAAACAAACAACACATAATTGTGAAATCAATACATCGTACACATCGTTCCACAGTTCAAACACAAACATGAGGGTCGACAATCGTGTAATCCGATATAATATGCTATAATATAATAGCTATATCGCAGTATTGCTAATACTATAGTATAGAATCTATTTCTCAGTTTTCAATCAAATTCCTGACGCTTTGGACGTTTAGTAAATTTTACTTACGGTTTAAATATTTTATAAAACAATATACAAATGAAAAGAATAAACGAATATTTTTCTAACTCAATTATTTGTGATACAATTAACTCGGAGGAACCAGGTAAGTATTTAATACATTATATTATCAACCTAGGACCTAGGTACAAAAAATGATTAATAGTGTAAAAAAAATTTCTCTTAATATACCTATCTTTTATTGAATTGTATATAATATATTATTATATACATATTGTATGTACGCGTGTAGCTTTGTAGTTATACTAAATAATTACCTGTAGGTAATAGGTATATATTTTTAAATAATAATCGAGAATTGTAAAAATATTTTTAATTTCACCATTGCTAATGAGCCGATCACTCATTATGTACAAAATAATTACTATAGGTACATCGTTTTGATTTATCAATGTATAATATATATACTGGGTGATTCTTTTATCAAACAACACTCATTATTTCAAAAAGTGTAAATTTTTTTGAAAATATTTTTTCACATAGTTTCTAGTCGCTTATAAAACAACGTTTTTATTAAAAATTATATTTTTAAATATTTTTTATCCTTATAATTTTTTATGTTTTTTACTTTTTTAAATGACAACATAGGGTTTTAATTTTATATTCCAAAGCAGAATATTTTTCTTAGTATTTTGATACATGAAAATCTAATTTGGGTTGAGTAGTTTATGAGTTATAAATATTCAAAGTTTGATGAGCGGTGAAGTGGACAAACATTTCGCGGGGTAACCCCGAACCACTCCACTCCGCTCGTCTAAACTTTAAATACTTATAACTCGTAAACTACTCGCCTCAAATTCGATTTTAATGTATCAAAATACTAAGAAAAATATTCTACTTTAGAATATAAAATTAAAACCCTATGTTGTCATTTAAAAAAGTAAAAAACATAAAAAATTATAAGGATAAAAAATATTTAAAAATATAATTTTTTTATAAAAACGTTGTTTTATAAGCGACTTGAAAGTATGTAAAGAAATATTTTCAAAAAAATTTACACTTTTTGAAATAATGAGTGTTGTTTGATAAAAGAATCACCCAGTATATGTCTATAATTTTTTATATGTAAGCCCCCCCCCAGGGGCGTATTTAGATATTTTTTTTTGTGGGGAGGGGGGGGCTGTGGTATTTTCTCCAACTGAAATTCCCTAATTCAGCCTATTAAAAATAAGAGTTAGAAAATTAGTACACAATTTTAATTTTTGTCATGATTTTTAATGTTTTCAAAAAATTAATAATGAAATAATATATAATAATAATAATACAATATTAATATAACAAATCAAATCAAATTTGAATTTCTTTCTTTGCCACTGTTAGCAAATTTATCTAATAAAATGTCATCTGGTATGTCAATGTCTCTATGAATAGCTAAAAGGGCAAGTCCCACAATTCACTAGTCTGGATTCTGAAGTTATATTTCTTAAATACGTTTTGAGTCTTCTCAACGTCGAAAAGCTACGCTCAGCTGTAGCGGTGGATACTCGTATTATAGCTAGTATTTTTAGTAATTCATACATGTTTGGATACATTAAATTATCACAGACACTCAAAGCCTCTATAGCAGTTGTGGACCTTAAGTTGTCTTCAATATTCTTCCACTTAGCTTGCCAAATTTCGTACTCTGCTTCTATAACGTCATTTAGCCCCGGTAAATCATTTTCATAAAATTCAACAGCTTTTTATATATCAGACAACAAAATATTTATCTATAATAGCGTCTATAATATAACAGCCGGCCGTCGTCGTCACAACTTCTCGGAAATATTTTTAGCTCATACGGGCTCGTAATGCTCGTATAATTTATTGTACGGTGATTGAAACGCGACAACGCGTGTATAATATCAGTAAATCAATTCTAGATAAAAGAAATCGAAATTTCGATAATGCAGCAGTACCAGGGGCGTCCTTGTGGGGGGGGGGGGGCGAAGGGGGCGACCGCCCCCCCCCGTGAGTTGGATAGAGTATAGAATTACATACATAGTAATTATTGGTTAATTTTATAGTTTATATTATTTAAATAAAATATTTTTTTTTTGTTCATCTTGTTATCAATTATCATGTTATCATGTTATCTTGTTATGTTGAATTGCAACTGATGGATGTGCTGTAATGACATCTGTAATAAGAGGTGCCGTTCAACACATTCAAAAGAGCTGTGTCAACGCTGTTCATAGTCCATGTTCTAATCATGCTTTAAATTTGTCAATCTCAAAATCCTCCAATGTACAACTAGTAAGAAATAGCATGGGCATCATCAAAGAAGTTTTATCATTTTTTAATTTATCTTCGAAACGCAATTTTATTTTGAAAAATAATCTCAGAGGTCAAAAACGATCAATTACTTCTTTATGTGAGACTAGATGGATTGAGCGGCACGATAGTATATTTGAATTTCAAACAAACCTGAAAGAAATAGTTGATAGTCTTATAAATATTTCAGAATGGGACGACCATGTTTCATCATCAAAAGCCAAAACTTTGATTTTTTCTATATGTAATTGTGAGTTTATTGTGACATTATTTACTGTTACAAGTATATTAAGCATTACTTCAGCGGCTAGTAAATTATTACAAAGTGTGACACAAGATGTTGCTTCTGCCACTAATTGTATAAATGACATTATAAAGACCCTAAATGACAAACGCACTAATTGTGATGTGCAATTTAAAAAAGTATTTGAAGAAAGTAAAAATGTAATGACTGAGTTAGATGTAGAAATTAAGCAACCAAGAATTGTAAAAAAACAAAATCAAAGGTGTAATACACCAGCCAATTCTATTGAAGAATATTACCGTAGAATATTATTCATACCTATTATTGATAATGTGTTAGAAGATATCAGATACCGTTTCTTGAATGACAAAAACAAAACAATTTCCTTGCTAATGCAACTCATTCCATCAAACACAATTAAAATGTCTTCAGAAACTAGTGATGAATTAATTCAAACAGTCGGTGACCAGTATGCATTCCTTAATTTTAATACATTCATGTTCAGAGGTGAATTAGAATTATGGAAGACTAAATGGACCACACAAAAGAATGAAGGTACTCAATTTACCCACTAATTATATTGTGTTTTGTATACAATTAAAATGTTCATTCAATTTTGTTTGTATAGGATTAAATATTCCAAATGAAGTGTTTTCTGCTTTTGATGAATGTTCTAACATATTTTTCCCAAGTATAAAAAAACTATTATTGGTCTTAGGTACACTTCCTGTCAGCGTTGCTACTGCAGAGCGTAGTTTTTCTACTCTTAGAAGGTTGTATACAAATTTACATTTATTTAATGAATCCAAACATGTTATATAATATTTGTTCTTTTGAACATGAATTTTTGTATTTTTAACATGTTTGAATTATAGTAACTTTATTAATTTTATTTGACGTTGCATTTTTATTTTATTTTACTATAAGTGTTATTTTTTTGCTAATAATTGATATTTAATTAGTACAACTATAGAAAATATTTACTATCTTATACTAAATATACTATAACTGTACAAAATAATAATACATGTAATAATAATACTATACAGTATTAAATAATATGCTTTTGCTTTAATTTTAAAGTATGCTTCTTCTTCAATTTGATTGCTTTTTAGGTTGAAAACTTGGATAAGAAGTGAAATGGGCCAAAGTAGATTAACGGGTTTGGCGCTTTTGCATATACACAGGCAGCTTCCGTTAAACGTAGACAAGATAATAGACCGCTTTGCTAAGAATAAAAGATGTTTAGATTTTGTTATATAAACCATTAATCAATAAAATAAATTTGTATACTATAATGACTATGGTGATTTGTTTTTAATAATGTAACATTTCAGTGACAAGATAATAGACCGCTTTGCTTAGAATAAAAGATGTTTATGATACATCATAACACTCAGTATCTGAATCCCATGTAAATTAATAATATTTTTACTATTTCGCCCCCCCCCATAGCCAAAGTCTGGAGACGCCCCTGAGCAGTACCGCACGTCAAAATTATGTACCGAACTCAAAGATATAATCGTTACGATCAAAATCGTCATTGACACATTATAATATGAAGAACTTGTTCGTTGTTAATAATAATTCTTTATAAAATTATATTAAACTTTTACGATTTTACATCTAGTAGAACATAATAAGTAGACTTAATAAACAATTAATAGATTTCGGGGGGGAGTCTCGAAACTCCAATATTAAAAGTAATAACACTAAGTAATAAACTGGGGACAACAATACGTGACACTTCCTCAAGATTTATCTCCTAGTATAGCTACAGACCTGAAAAATGCTCCTACAACGTCTGTCGATGTTGAGAGATCATTCGGCATATATAAGACAATATATACGGACCGCCGTACTAACTTTACTCCGGAAAATTTAGAAAAATATATTATTGTTCATTCCTTTAAAAACATTGTATAATTTTTTTTTATGTTAATGTATTGCATGTAATATAACATATATAACTATGTAACATAACTATATAAGATAAAATAGGTAATAATTAATTAATAATTATATAAATAATAATAAATAATAAATTCATAATCATAATTAACTATCATATTTCATGTTTAATACAAGTTATAACTAAATAACAAATAAAAAAGTTTTAAGATATTATTTATATTTTTTGCTTATTAGTTACTATTATCAATATTTTTCAGAATATTTTGAGAATATTAAGAATATTTAATATTTTTAGGAATATTTCATAAATTTCAACTGCATATATAAACATCATATTTCAAACGTTTCAACAGAATATAAATCTGGACTCTACTTATCAGACATCCTTATAACCATACTTCCTCAGAGGCGTGTCTAGGACCAAATTTCAGGACAGGCCCGGTTGCAAAAATAATTTGTGTATATAGTCAACACATTTTTAAGTTTAAGAAAAATTGCATTATACTTTTTAAGTCATGAGTATGACGTGTAACATGACGTATTATTTATTAACAACTATATTTTATAATATAAAAAATACAAAACGAAGACTGTCACTCGCGGGCTCGGCCGTCAACCGCGACAATAAATTAAAAGTCGGCACTAAATAAAATATTCGTTTTCTAATAGCAATATCATAGTTTTTGACGCTCGACACAAAGGCGGTGATCACCGACCAAACACCGACGGTCGTCGGGTCGTATAATATCTATACAGAAATGTGGGGTATATCCAAGAAGCGCTAGAGAATTGCCGATAAATCTTACTATTGTTAATTTTATTTATAGACAAATATTTGCATTGCTTACAGCAAAAAATATGATCGATACATCGTGTGCTTGTATAAATATAATTTTAAAATGCATATTTTGGGTACACTTAAAGGTTAAAAATCAGGGTAGACAATCAGGGTAGACTACCCGCTGGACACTCCTCTGTACCTCCTCATCGCCAATACACCGTGTCGCACAGTGTTCCAGAAATTTGATTTAGGTGGACAAAATTAGAATTTTCATAATCATTAATTGAACATAAAAATGAATTTAATTTGTTGATAGTTAAATTGATACGCTATCGCTTACAGTTATAATAGTGTACTGATTATACTAATAGTCTGAGATAAGATTTTCAATTACCAGCTAAATTGTTTGAGCGTATAGGTTTTATACCGTTAGTGTCGTTCGTTGAATGAAGTTAGTCCGTTAATTTTTCTTCAACATTATGGATACACTAGTGGAAGGTATGTATATATATTTTTTTATTTTTTTTATTAAGTTTTGCATGAACAATTTAAGTAATATATATAGAAATATTTAAAAATGTAAGATACATTTTTTTTTTTTAATTATTGAGGCTACTGAAAAAATAGTAGTGGATAGTAGAGGTTTGAACTTGGTGTTTTCTATTAGCTTAACTTGTCCTCTAAACGATATTATATAATTTGGCTGCGGCAAGTTGCTGCACAATACATAGTACCTATTATATTAAAAAAAAATATTATATTTTTCAAATTCGTCAAAAATTATATTTCACCATAAAACCAAATGACAAAAAAAAATAACTTATGTAACTTTTTATGTGACACAGAAACAGAGAAAGAAGAATACGAAGCAGCTACATCTGATGGAGAATCTGTCAGTTCTAGTGATTCTGATTTATACAATAATAATATGTAAAAAAATTATAATCTAATTATATCATTAGAATAAATAATATACTAACTACTAAGCAGTTTATTTTTTTAATTCTAAAAACCTGAATTTTAAAATGATCTAAGTATCCGAAAAGTAAAACAATTTTATAAATAAATAATTTTGTCCTGCTAAAAACCTTTTCTGCTCGAGACCGACGACCGCACGTCCGCACCACAAGACCACTGCAGCTTCCGAAATCGACAACACTCAGGGCCCCCTCATGGGGGTCTGGGGGGTTCCCCCAACGACGCTCGGAGAGCTAGTCCTATACTGGCTATACAACAAAACAGAAACCGATTTTTTGTACCAGAGTAAGAGACTACCAATGAAAAGGGGCGTTGCCCCGGCGGCGACGGAGCTGTCGCTTTATCGTAATATTACATCAGAAAAAAGATATATTTACCTAGAGCATACGTACATCACCCCAGCCCCACCCATTTCGAATTTTCGAAAATTTCGTTTACCATTATTTAGTACGTAATTTGTATGAATTTGTATGATAATTTTCAAAATTTGTACGTTCTCAACAAAAATAATGGGTGTTGCTGGGGTGATGTGATTTCAGCCCTACCTGAGGTTAAAAATTATAAAATAATGGTCACAACTACACCAACTTTTAGTCCGTAATTTGAATGACCGTTCTTAAAATTTGTACGATCTTCGTTCGGCGTCAATCGCAAATACCTACCTAAAAACCACCGTCACCCCAGCCCCTGCACCCCTCGTCTAAATTTCAGTGTTTAAGAATTTATTCCGGTGCCAACTTTTAGTACGTAATTTGTACGAATTTGTACGACCGTTTTTAAAATTTGTACGATCTTTGTTTTCGGCGTCAATCGCAAATACTTAAGTTCTAGACTTGGAGATTGCAGTATTTGTATAGAAAATATTATCAGAAAAATAAAAGGTTCAAATATACCGAGAAGTCTGTTATTTTTATATTTTATCCATTAATCTATTAATATAAATAATATAAATTTCTTCAGATTTTTAATTTTTATCCAATTTGAGGACTTTCCGCTAAATGTACAGGCCTTACTCCGTTCTAGGCGTGCAAACCGAGCGCCGCCGTCTCGCACTTACGTTTTTTGCCGTTTTTGTCGAAAATTCCAGTTTTAGCCCCTTTTCGACACGTCTGCCCTCCCCGTTGACGACTTATTCGCGTTCCCCTCTACATTTATAGGCACCACCGTTGACTTGGTATCACTATATACAGGCATAAATAATACATACTTCGAATATCGAATAAGGTTCGATTTTTTTCTCGAATATCGCGTTCTTAACTCAGTAGGTAGGTAGTTAGGTAGGTAGGTAGGTAGCACGGCCGCCAGAATTTTTTTTTTTTTATTATTGCCTTTCGATTTCACTTGAGCCTAATCAAATTTAACGAACATTTTCCAATTTTTTTCAAAATTCGCGGATGCTCGGAATACTTGTAAGGTCCATACCATTTATAACAAAAGAAATAAAAAACTCGGAAAACTGGTACTATTCAAAATTTAATTTTCAGGAGTCCTAAAATATTTACAATGTTTATTATATAATTTTGATAAATCACCATCGTCAACAAGTTAAATTTAAATAATACTTAAAACAAAAAAAAATATGTTAGCAATCAAAATTACCAAATTAACACCAATAAGTACATACAAAGTAGCAGGCAGGTAAAATAAATATAAAATATAGGTACAATAAATATAATATAGTTTATGATTAATAATAATTATTTCGTATACTTTGCATATTATTTAAAAATTGTCCTAATTGAATTTCTTTATTTAAGAAGTTCTCACATTCGTTGTATAGTTTGTCTTGCAAAGTACATTCCAGAAGTTTGGAGAAAATATTGGGCTGCCAGACTTCCCACTAACATAAGTTTCGTCAAAATATTTTAGTAACTGTAACAATTCTACAGGTGTCGTTGTATATAAATAAACCATTCCATCTATTACTTCACTAAAGGGTAAAAACGCTAAAGCGTTAATCATACCGTAACTTATTCTAAAATCTATGTTATTTCTGTATAAGGAACATATTATTATACCTAATTGTTGAGCTTATCGCCATGTAGATTGGCATAAATGTCCATATTAGGTATAATTTTTATTGAAGTAATAACACACTCAATCCACTATTGCGAATGATATTGTACTGATGAGAACTTTCTGTATATTATAGTTCATGACATTTATTGATTAATAGATATTTATCGTATCTTATCGTTATCGCATTATTTTCACTCGCAGTCACTCGTGAGTCGTGTTTTCCAATCGATCGTCGGTAAAATAAAATTAAAAATAATCGTTTATATTTTATTCTTTTTTTTTTTCATAAAAGTTTGGGAAACCTTTACTATTGTGAACCGTACCAGTATTCCGCGTTTATACAGACCGTACCAGTTTTCCGTTTACCAGGTACTAGGTAGGTAGGTAGCACGGCCACCAGAATTTTTTTTTGCGTTTTTCCCTTTCGATTTCACTTCAGCCTAATCAAATTTAACGAAAATTTTCCGATTTTTTTTTCAAATTTCGCGTTCCCCGCCAAATGTATAAGCCGCCCGCGACAGTACTTGGCTCGCATCGAGTGTCGTGGCGGAGATCGGAGAGCGGACGGTGT